GAATAAAATACAACATAAAGAAATACAATAAAACTTTCCACACTAAAAATAAACATAAATATATACACACGTAACTATAAATATATGCTTATATATATTTACAGATCTAAAAATAAGAAGTGATGAGAGCAATGTGCAAAAGAAAGAAAGTTTGCTGACATAAAAACCTATTTTACCAGAAATTAAATCCTTTCAATATTTGGAAATGAGGAAAATGTTTGTGGTGATTGACGCCGCCCGCCGGCAGCTCTCTGCGCCGCCAAACGCGGCGGTGCTGTAACGGAGCAGAGCCCGCAGCAGCCAACCAGGACGCTGACAGCAGGTCACGTGACGCAGAGTGAGTTTTTTTTTTTTTTTTTTCAATGAACTTTATTTAAATGAAATTAGTATACAACAAACAGCATAATGAACAATACAACATTCAAGCAATACAACCAGGGGTGATTAGATAAGAACATGCAAAGACGTACATATCGAGATTGTCCTTTGAGCCTTTTGATTTGTAGAGTCTGTTATTGATTTGACATATAGAGCCATATCTTTAATGAAAAAAGAAAAACAAGGTGTCCTATTAGCAAACTTGCATTTATGAATATAATATTTAGCAAAAAGTATTAGTAAGTTTATTATAAAGAAATGATCAGCAACCTTTCTATGAAATCTATAGAAACAAAATAAAAAATTTTCCCAGCATAAAGAAAAATTGTTTAAAATATGGTCAATAATAAACCTGCTAAATTCAGACCAAAACCTTTGTATAACAGGGCAGAGCCAAAAAAGATGTGTCACAGTTTCTGGATGGCCCTCACAGAAAGTGCAATTAGTGTTTATGTCGCGTTTATATTTTATCATATAATGTTTAGCAGGGTAAATTTTATGGAGAATCTTAAATGACACTTCCTTCACCTTGTTTATAATTAAATATTTATGGGGGATCATCCAAACAGTTTTCCAGTGAATATTTGGGATATAACGGCTCCAATAAAATGTTATGGCTGGATGAGAAACAGTAAGTTCTTGGAACAATCTGCGTATTCTCTCATTGCTTTTCCTAAACTCCATTGAAAAACAGCTTTTTCCCACAGATGATTCGGTTAGAGCAGGGATAAAAGGTGGAACAGACAGAGTATAATTAGTGTTTTTAAACAACATTAAGGTGCCCAAAGGTACAGCCTTAACCACCATGGAGAATTCCTGGATACTAACTGGAAAATTATATATCGAGCAGAATTCATTGTAATTGATTAATCGTCCTTCTTTATTAATCAGCTGAGCCACCAGTAAAATTCCATTTTGAACCCAGGTTTCAAGATAGAGTGACCTGTTTTTAAATAGAATATCTCTGTTGTTCCAGATGGCGGCAGCTGTCTATCAGCAGCCCATTGAATAAGTAGAGCTCACTAATCCTGTTCTTCTTCTTCTTCTTATGGGATTTTATGGCGGTTGGCAGACTTGTGAATTGTGCATTACCGCCACCAACTGATATGGAGTAAAGCAAGAAAACAGGAAACGATTCACCCCCCCCAAAAAAAAAAAAAAAAAAAACCTGTGTAACTTAAACCAACATAATACTAAATCACATTTGCCCATATAATTTTAATTTACTCTAAGTCATCTTAACTCTGCCAGTTTCTGATGGTCCCATCGGTCCTCCCATCATACTTCCAACCATCTCCCAGTTCAAATCTTTAATGTCCAGATATTTTTCTGCAGCCTTCACTATTATTTTGATTTTTTCAGTTTTTTTTGTTGTCTGTGCAGTACAATTAATCACTTCTACCATGAAAAGAACAAAATTTGTCTTTTTAACAATTAGTGAGTCTTCATCAATTTTTAGAGATTTCTCTAGAGGTTTGGAATTTGCTGTGTGTTGACTGTAGGTTTGGGTTTTTCTGACTGAGATGGGATCCTTTTTGCAGCTTCAGCGTAGGTTATTCCGAGCTCAAATTTCATTTTTTTTATTTCCTCAGACCTTTTGCTTGCTTCACAGCCGCGATAAGCAGCAGTATGTTCTCCACCACAATTACAGCATTTTATTTTAGCTTCTTTTCCACATTTTCCGTACTCATGTTCTCCTGCACACCTTCCACACCTCTGTTTCCCTTTACAAACTGCTGCAATGTGACCGAATTTTTGGCATTTGAAACATCTCAATGGTGGAGGATTGTAGATTTTGACATTATAGCTTATGTAACCGATGAATACTTTGCTTGGTAATTGCTCTTCTTCGAATTTAATTAACACCGATAAACTGTCAGATCTTTCTCCGTTTCTTGTTGTTTTTAACCGTTTTACTTCTTTTACTTTTGCACCGCTTATGTTTTCCAGAATCTCTTTTTCAGAAATTTTTAGAGGAACTCCTCCAATGACTCCCCTGCTGATCTTTTTGTTCTCCATTAGGCTGCACTGAACTCTTATCCCGTCAATTTTGTTGATACGTATTGCTTTGCCTTGCTGGGCGCTGTCTCTGCAGTTAATTAGCAGGTCTCCACTGTACAGAATTCTGGCACCTTTGACTTCTCCGACAAGTTTATTGATGGTTTTTGTTAAGTGAACCGGATTCCAATTTGTTAAAGAGTCTGCCTGATTAACGACTTTGAATATGACTTTGAATTCATTTTGTTGTGCTGTGGAATGTATGGAATGATCATCACTGGATTGTTCTGAACTAGATTCCCCTTGAACTGATCTCTGTTTTTTCCGCTTTTTCTCATTTTTTGATGTTGCTATCTTCCAACCTTCATTGTCACTATTTCCCTCTTCCATCCCACAAGAATCGCTTCCTGTTTCCTCACTACTCACGGCCCAAGGCATTTCTCCATAAGCAGCTTCAAAACACGCGCCATGCACCAAACGACCATCCACATGCCGGCCCGCAGCCTGTTCCCCCACACTAATCCTGTTATATTCGACGTATGTAATTATAGATATCTTTGATTTTCGATTTTTTTCTCTCTTTTTAAAGTGTATTGCATAAAGTTAACATCTGTTTACCTCGTGTTAAGGAAGAAAATATTCTAAATAGTTAACTTTGGAAAAAGGTTGGGTGTTTCTCTTCCTCTCCCAGGTGCGCTCAGCGAGCTGCGTGTGGCCCCCAAGGAAAACCAGCAAGATATGCGAACGTCACAGAATCACAGAATTTAATCCAACAAAAAACAGCTTATGAATTAACAACAAAACTGCAGAACAACAGAGACATACATTCAGTTACCTGAGGTAGAGAAAAATAGAAAAGAGAGGCAAAGACGCGTCTTTGGAGAGAGCTGGTGCAAAAGCAAAAAAGTGGCAGCTATCTGAATTTTTGCCCCTGTGCCCAAAATTTTATAATGTAGATAAGTCCTTCCCTTTAGTATAAGGTCGTCCAGCTTGACCAATTGAAAGCTACTTTGGACACTCAGAAAAACTAATTTACGGCCGGGCCCCCACTGGATTCTAAGGTCATCTGGCTGTCATGAGATAAAGTTTAACAGAATCGATGTGGAATGTTGAGGGCCCCTTTCCTGCCATAAATCTCAAGAACAAACTTAAATTCAGTATTTTGGTTCAGGGAAAGGTTATCTTCACAGCTCAATCTTGCTCTTCAATTCAATTTCAATTCAGTTTATTTCTATAGCGCCAAATTCACAACACATGTCATCTCAAGGCACTTTACAGTTCAACCAGATCATACAGTCAAATTGATACAAAGTTTTCTATCTAAGGAAAACCAGCTGATTGCATCGACTCATTGACTCTTCAGCAATCCCTCACACTAAGCATGCTTGTAGCGACAGTGGAGAGGAAAAACTCCCTTTTAACAGGAAGAAACCTCCAGCAGAACCAGGCTCAGTGTGAGCGGCCATCTGCCGAGGCCGACTGGGGTTCAAGGAGACAGAAGCAGAGATACAAAAAGCAGCTGTAAAAGGCGGCCCCGTCCAGGAAACACACAGCCAGGCAGACGAGCTCCAAGGCAGCTCCCATGCCAGAGGACGAAGAAAGCACATCCACTCAGTCACGGTCAGAGAAACAGGACCACACTGGAAAACAGGCCGATCTCCAACATCTATAAACAAGGGTGTTGATAGAAGCAGCACAGCTGATGTTTCTTTCCAGGATGACGTCACAGCCAAACAGGAACAGACGAGGCAAAGCTACTCTGAGGAAAAGCAGAGAGAGCAGAAGGTTAGAGATTGAACTAACAGATTCTGCAGAATAGGAGAACAGAGAGAGAATGAAGCAGAATGATGAACTTGGGGTCACCTATGTCCACCCAAAAGTCTAAGCCTATAGCAGCATAAACTATAGATAGCTCAGATCAACAGAACATAAGATACAATTCCTTTTTCTCACATATAAAACATAATATTCAATCTAACATATTCAATTACCCCATTAAACCTATATCCTGAGCAATTTTCTAATAGTAAACAAAACATTTTCATTCAAACAATTTCAATTTGATTCTGATATTCACACAGATAGTACACTTTCAATAAAAAAAAACATGATATTAATACTTAGAAAAATGTCTTAAAAACTAAATGTTAATGTTTTAACATTCTACATTTTATTCAGTATTACAGCATCTCAGATGTTTATTCTGGAAGACCTTTGATCTTCTGTAAACCAAGGAGACCTCTCCCCTGAGGCTCAACTGTTATTCACCCCCCAGGAGATACTCATTTTAAGGCCTCCTGTGCTTTGAATACTTACCCATTAGTAGTTTTAAATCATTAACACAGCCTTGTTCAAAATTCAGAAATATGGTCAAAATGAAAGTGTTCAACATACCTTTTACACACGCCATAAGATTAACTGTTTTAAAAACTAAAATAATCATTTTTCTTTAACACTCGAAACTTTAAAGAAAAGAAAATAATATTAAGAAAAGTGTTATGATTAACTATATGATTGAGTTTGTCATTGTTACTGTTCCAAATAAAGTTATTTAGAAAATAATAAATAAGTAGCGCTCAATGCTAAGCTAACAGCTAACCGGAAGCTAAACATAGCCACTTCCTGTTGGCGGTGGAAATCAGGCAGAGACCCGGAAGTAGAGGAGAATCCAAACACAGCGGCGCTAAAATGGAGCTAGAACCGAGGCAGAGTTCCCGGGATAAAGACCCGGACTCGGAGCACCGAGTCCGGCTGACATCCAAGCGGAGAGCCACCGAGCTGCTGGATAAAGGCTCCGAGGTTCTGCGGAGCGCTTTGGACGGACAGCCGGAGCTTCCGGAGGAGAGCAGGCGGGCTGCGCTGCAGCAGCTGCGGGCGGTGAGTCCTCATCCCGCCACTGGCTGCAGCCTTAATCCCTGGGATTACCTCCACTCTGCTTCCACTAGATTATAGAGAGAACAGAGAGTTAAAGCAAGATGCTATTAAAGATTAAAAAATATAGCACAAAAAACAAAGAATTGTAATGTCCTGGAATATGTTTCCCTTAGATATAGAAGCACAGTAGAAAGTTAAGGGAAGGATACACTGCAGTTCTATTCAGTTTATTTCTATAGCTCCAATTCACATCATGTCATCTCAGGTCACTTTATAGATCCAGATCAACCAGATCATCCAGTCAGATTGATTCAAAGTTTTCTATCTAAGGAAAACCAGCTGATTGCATCGACTCATTGACTCTTCAGCAATCCCTCACACTAAGCATGCTTGTAGCGACAGTGGAGAGGAAAAACTCCCTTTGAACAGGAAGAAACCTCCAGCAGAACCAGGCTCAGTGTGAGCGGCCATCTGCTGAGGCCCACTGGGGTTCAAGGAGACAGAAGCAGACATAGAAAAAGAAGCATAGATACAAAAGGCAACTGTCAACCAGCTCCACAGGCGGCCCCGTCCAGGAAACACACAGCCAGGCAGACGAGCTCCGAGCCAGCTCCCATGTCAGAGGAAGAAGAGAGCACATCCAGTTAGTCACAGTCAGAGAAACAGGACTACACTGGAAAACAGGCCAAGCTCCCATGCCAGAGGATGAAGAGAGGATATATATACATAAATCATTCATCCCTAGAAGAACAATTTCAATTCCATCATCCAGAAAAATCTGGATATGCTGCTTTTTAATTATAACATAGCAGAATTTTTTTCTGGTAAACTTTTATTTCCCCTTTAAATCTGCAGCTCTTCCTGCTTCTCTCTGTTTAACAAGATGAATGAACCTTAAGATAAATTAGATCTTAAAATGTTTTATTTAAACCAAGCAGCTGCATCCTGATGTTCCTTCACGGCGGGTTTTCTCCAGAACATGGTGACCTTTGTCTCACCTGGATCTTTGCAGAACTTTGAAGCTGCGGTCAAGCTGAACGTGTTGGTGGACGGACAGCCGTGGGACGACGCTCCGGACCTACAAGGTGAGTTCTGTCCCTCCCGGGTTGGACAGACGGGTGAGGACGTCCGTTTAACGCTGGTGTCCTCGACAGACGAAGAGGATCTGGATCTGGAAAGCCTTCTGGACGACACCATCCTGGAGACCACCAAGAGGCGGCGCCTCTACCCCAGAAGGATCCTTCCTCATGTGGTTCAGGCCCTGAAGGCCGAACGGAAAATCCTGGTTGGTTCATATTTCTTCTTTCCTCTGATTGGTTGATGTTTTCTAGAAGGTGAGCAGTCAGTCTGGGCCGGATCCCCAGGAGAACCGGAGGTTTCAGCTTCACATGAAGTGACATTTGGGAGGAATGTGATGGTTCATTCCCAGTAACCCACTGGGTGCAGAAATAAAGGCTGATTTCTGCCTCTTAGTTCTGAAATCTAAGTTCTGCTGTTTGTCTTTCAGGGCTTTTATAAAACCTCCATCCAACCTGAAGACATCCAGAGAGATCCGGATCAAGGTCAGCTCCGCCTCTCGTGTTTCTGATCTTTAAAGAACCTCTAAAATAAATCTTCCACGCAGAGATTCAGAGGAAAGTTTTCTTCTTAGATGTACCTGCAGTGCACACTGCCACCAGCAGAGGGCGCCCTTTACTCTGTTGGAAAACAATTTCTAATTTCTGCTTCATGACCTAAAATAGATCACATTTTTCATAGTTTTTGCTCAAAGTTTAAAGATAAATATTTGTTTTTTCTCTGGGCTCAAAATCCACCAGAGTTTCTCAGTTAGAAAAGTAAATAAAACGTTTCTTTAAAACCAAATGAAGAGAAGAATTTGGTAAATGATGGTCCTGCATTACATCTGGGAACCAGAACTGTTCCGGGTCTATTCCAGGTCTGGTCACGGTCATTCCGGGTCTGTTCCGGGACATTCCGGATCCGTTCCGGGTCTTTCTAAGTCCTCTGCAGGAGGAACTCGAGGAAGCAGACCAGTGAAGTTTCACTGTGGCTGAACTGAAATCCTGAAACGTTTCGGCTCTTTTCTGTTTCGTGACCGGAGCTCAGAAAGCAGCCGTGGCTGCAGGTTACCATGGTAACGGGGCTCAGCAGAGACGGTTGCCCTGATTGGCCGTTTCCTGGGTCACCCAGAACGTCTCTGTGAAGCAGCTGAGGCCTCTGATGTCACTCGCTTTCTGGACATGAAATCATCTGATGATTCTCCTCCGTTTTCCTGGAGGATGGAGGTGGATCTTCTCCTCGCTGCAGACGCAGCATCTAAGCAGAGTTTCCATCATTTCAGCTTTGGATCATTAAAGTCATGAACATCAGCAGAGTTCTGATGAAGCCAGATGGCCTTCAAATGAGGACGTTCCAACTCTTCTTCTGTTGATGTTGCAGAGAGCCTGAGGAGGCACCTGTCCGCTGCAGCTCCTGCCATGGTCAGACAGGCCTTCCAGGTGATGAAGGTGAGTCCTCCACATCCAGGCTGCCTCCATGCTGCAGCAGCAGCTGCTTCATAGTCTCCTTCTGTCCCTGCAGTCCATCAACACTCTGCAGAAGCAGGCTGAAGGTCTCTGCCAGGTCCTCAACATGAAGCCCAGCTCCACCTCCCTGCAGATCAACGGGGAGGTTCTGGGCTCCTCCTGCCAGGCCGGCGCTCTGCCTCCAGCAGGAGGCGCCACGAGGAGCAGGCGGCCCCTGAAGAGGGCCATGAGGGAAGCTGCGGTGGCTGAGGGCTACTGGCCCAGAACCACAGAACCAGAAGGCAGTGTGGGAGAAGATGAAGCGGAGGAACGCTTCCTGTCCTGAAGGCCACAGAACCACAGCCAGCAGGGGGCGCTGCAGGCAGACGGAACCCAGCAGAGTCCTTCATTTGATGGACAGGAGGAAGGTTTCTATGAGCTCCTCTGGTTCCTCCTCGCAGGTTCTGGTTCAGGTCTGCTGGGATCCTCCTCCTCTGTGGACAGATCCTCCTCTCCAGGGATCAGAACAGCTGCAGTCAGAGGAAAGGAGGTGAAATAAAACTGTTCAGATTCATTGTTGGACGAGATTCTATTTTAATGGTTTTAATTTATGGCTCAGTTTTAGTTTTCTCTGGTTTAGGCCAATATCCCATATTATTGCTATTACCCACAATCCTTTGCTGTATTACTCTCAAATGACCCCCCCCCTCCCTGTAATAAACATGTATTGTTATCATGGGCTCAGTTCTGATTGGACCGACCGTCTCAGGATGAAGAAAACATCCGTTCTGTCAGACAGATTCAGAGTTAGCATAATGCTACGACCGCTACATTGAAGCAGCTGCTTTACAGGCAAATTCTGGTTCCATCCTCATTAGAGCCTCATTAGGGCCTCATTAGCATTATTAGAGCCTCCTTAATGCCTCCTTGGACCCTCTAATCCAGCTGCTCTGATCTACTGAGGATTTTTGCAGCTGAATTATTCTTTCAATCTTTTGTTTCAGTGGAGCTAAAATCAGGACATTCACTGAATGACCGAATGTTTGCAGGTTGGCAGCTCTGCTGTGAACCCTCTGTAGGTCGATTCTTAAAGTTCTCCACCTCAGAGGTCCACCTCAGACATGGGCGTAGGTTTGCATAGGGACCATAGGGACATGTCCCTACCAAAGTTTTGAACCGACCTAATTGTCCCGACCAATAATTGGATGTGAGCAACATGTTTATAATTTACAGCAGTAGTTGTTGCAGCAGTGGCTTCTTTTCCTCTCGCAGCTCCTCTGCCTCGTCTCTCCTGTCCCTTTCATGTAGCAGCGCATGGAACTGCTGCGCTGTTTAACTCAACTCTCATTGGTTGTTCTGCCTTAGGTCCCGCCTTCTCTCTCCTTGATTGGCTGTTTTCTAGTCCTGGCGTGCTTGGAGCACAAAATTGAAAATTGATTCACACTAGAATGCTGCGGTTACTACAATAAATATTAGGCTACAAAACTAGTCCCAATAAAAGAAATGAATATCATGTTCACTAAAAAACAAAAACCTTTTTTTTCTTTTATAAAGCGAAATATTCTGAGTCAGCCAGGAGTTCTGAAGACTGCTGGAAAAATGGGCAAATAAAGGCTGTAAGCCATCAACATTTCTGATTCTTATCCACAGCCAACTAGAAAAACTGAGTGTTTCCTTTTTACCGATATTTAGTTGCTGTTACTGTTTTCATTTTTTTATGACTCTTTGAGGAAGTTCAGGTATAATTATTAGCAGGTGTTATTTCTCTTATAGAGTATAACAACAAGAAATGGTGGCTAATCATCTGCTGTTTTTCGTTTAAAAAACATAATTAGGGTTCCACATAATAATAGTTCTATTTTATTGACTATTTATACTTCTAGAAATAGGATAAAGACAAGAACAAACAAAGGAAGAATATAAACATTGATTTTATCAAATTTAGCAAATGAAACCATTTTCAAAGTGGAAAACAGTCCTAATTCCACATTCATCAGAGCCGCTGATACTTCAAACATTGATAAACAGCATCTAATGAGTGTAGAGCTTATAACATTTTTATTAATGGAGCAAAATGATGCTTTTCTCTTTTAACAATGAATTCGTCTTATCAGTACGGATGCTCACATCGAGCATAAAAAAGGGCATATTGCAGCACCAATGACACCCGACCAATAGTGTCCCTACCAAAGTTCAAATCAAACCTTCGCCCTTGACCTCAGAGGTCCAGGTAGGATGTGAGCCCACAGTCAGCTGACTTGTGGGAAGTGAAGAGGCCGCTTCTGGTAAAGATCATGGAAAGTGAAAGGTGATGTGAAACCCCCGCCTGGCCCGACCCGCCCCCCCCCCCCCCGTTCTCCACCTGATGTCCAGAGTCCCTCAGAGACGCGTTGACAGAGCGTCCTCCTGGGTCGTCCATCTGGAAGCTCTGTGATGTCCGGCTGGGATTCCTCCCCCCCCCGGGAGAACACGGGGACGGGTCAGCTCTGTGAGGGACGGACGGTAAGGAAGCCTGGGGGTGTTTGGGGACGGCGCTGCGGCTTGGGTCCAGTAAGCATTGCTGTGTTTGTGGTTGGATCAGTGTCTGAAGGACGAAGGACGGAGGCTGAAGAGGAGAGAGAAGAACCGAGTCGCTGCTCAGAAGAGTCGGAAGAGACAAACCCAGAGAGCCGACCAGCTGCACCAGGTGCTTGAACCCAGAACCAGAACCGGGTCTCGCTCTGCAGGTTTCTGATGGTCTGGATCAGCGGTTCTTTGGTCTCACTGCAGAAAACTGATCCAGGATCTTTGGGCTCCGGCTCTACAGGCGCCGAAACGATCTGCTGAAGATTAACAGCTAAAATAAGATCATGGAGAAGTTTATTTATTATTTTAATCAATTTCATCTCATTCTATCTACCTGCAGAAATCAAAGAATACATTTATTAATAAACATTTATTAATAAACGTTTATAAATAAACATTTATTCATAAAATAGTTAATTAGATTTCCAGTTTCTGTGGCGCTGCTCTGAATGTTTCCCTCAAAATTAAACGATTAAATCTTCTTTGCTTGAAATATGCTGCTGGAGATATTTGATGCTTTTTATAAACAGATCATTTCTGTCACCGACTCAAACAATTATTACAAATTTTATTAATTAATGTTTAATTTCTGCAGTGAGACGAACCTCTGAAGGTTCTTTGGTTTTATGGAAGAGAAGCAAACAGCAGCTCAGGTTCTCCTCATCTGAGGAACCTGGACTTTAAAACTATTTACCCGGAAAACAACATATATTTGACCAAAATGTAAAGTTTAAATCCCTTTTTAAAGGGAGCGTCCGTATCTGATGGTCCCTGAGAGTTTGAGCGAAGCCAATCAAATCATCGATTAATAATATCGGTACGTTTTCCAGGAATAATGTCGCTCTTTTGGTTTTAAAAGCCTTTTATGTTGGAAACGTCTTACGAAGTCCGAAAAAATGCCGTCAGAACTAAGAACGGGAACAGAAACCCAGATTAGCTTAAAAACGATAAAGTCGCGCCTCATTGGGCGCATCAAGTCCAGAGGAAGAAAGATTCTCACAAAAAAAAATTCTTAACATTTTCTGGTGAAACTTCCTGGAAAATATTTCCAGGCTCTTTTTGAATTTATGGGCTGTGTCCTCTGAAGGACGATGATGTCATAGCGCGGCGCCGAGGTCTGGTCGGATTCCAAGAGTCCTCGTTATGCGGCCTTAAAATGCATCCTTCTTTTTGCTCGATTTGAAGGACGGGTTCGATGTATCCTCTCTATCCTCGGTTTTCCCAGGATTCATTGCGAGTCCAAGCGAGCCGGCTGCTCCGTGATAAAAGGGAAAAAGGGAAATGGCGCCAAACAGTGGTGAATATTGGAAGTTCAGTTTAATATAATCCAGCCTGTGAATAGTTCCGTCTGAAATGAATGAAAATAGTTGTTTTAATGGTTATAGAGTCAGATATGTGGCGGTAATGTTTGGTTTATTTAAAGGTTTTAACCTGTTACTGATTAAATGGTTTTGGTTAGATTTACTTATATCTTTCTACCCATTTTATAGAATAGAAAATCCCTTTATTGTCCCACAATGAGCAAATTTACCCATTGACCTTAGAAAATGTCTAAGAATAACACAATAGGGAAGATTTAAAAGATAAACAATAAAATTCTGTAAAGTGTTTTAACAATATAAAACTGGGGAATAAATAACCAATATGCAGCTATGGACATTTTTACAGTAATGTTGAAAATAGCAGCAACATCAGAGATGTGCAGAATGACAGCAGCAGGTTATTTAACTGACTAAGGTTTCTATCATTACATTTGATTTTTATGGTTGGAACATTTATTCCTCTCTGGATTCAGTGAAGTCGTCCTGCAGAAGGATGGACCTGTTTGGATTCACAGCCAAAACTCTTCCAGTCTCCTGATTTTCAAGGACTTGGAAGGATCCAGTCCAGGTTAACCGAGTCCCTGGAGGATGCAGCCCATGAATTCATACACAGCCTGGCTGGTGAGGCTAATAATTGCGTCAATCAGTCTTTCCCAGTAGAAACAAGGTCACATGTGGAACAAAAAAATAGGTTCCTCCTTTTTAACCAAACTACATAAAAAACTTTTCTAAAAGTATTTATTTATGATTGAACTTTCATTTTATTACTAATATGAATTAACTCGTGTTTCTAACTAAATAATAAAATAATCAAATGAGTCAGAAGGCAGCTATAAGGTCAGACACTGATAACGAGCTAGCTTCCGTTAGCTACGTCTCATTAGTTAATGTTTAGCTTCCTCCTGTAAACCAGCACAGAGTTCCACTAAACAGGCTGAATGTTCACTTCAGACGGTGCTGGTAAAATAAGACATTTAATTAGAACATTTAGTGCTGAGAAAAAACACATTAACAGATTAATAGAAATAATGTTTGAAACAAATAAGCCAGTATAAAGAGAAAAGTGTAAGTAGGTCATTATATAAAAAAAAAGCTAAAATCAATCCCCTGGACTTTGTTTCCAGGTTTTATCCAGCAGCCCAACAAAGCCTGGTTTTAGTTTAGAAAACATGCAAATAGAAACGGATGAACGGGTCCCCCCCTTTGGTTAGCATCTGGGTGAACAGGAAATTCTGCAGGACAGGAAGTTCTGCGGGTCAGGACAGGAAGTTCCGACGGTCAGGACAGGAAGTTCAGACGGTCAGGAGAGGAAGTTCTGTAGTTCAGGACAGGAAGTTCTGCGGGTCAGGACAGGAAGTTCCGACGGTCAGATCAGGAAGTTCTGCGGGTTAGGACATGAAGTTCCGACGGTCAGGACAGGAAGTTCAGACGGTCAGGAGAGGAAGTTCTGTAGTTCAGGACAGGAAGTTCTGCGGGTCAGGACAGGAAGTTCCGATGGTCAGATCAGGAAGTTCTGCGGGTTAGGACATGAAGTTCCGACGGACAGGACAGGAAGTTCTGCGGGTCAGGACAGGAAGTTCAGACGGTCAGGAGAGGAAGTTCTGTAGTTCAGGACAGGAAGTTCTGCGGGTCAGGACAGGAAGTTCTGCGGGTCAGGACAGGAAGTTCCGATGGTCAGATCAGGAAGTTCTGCGGGTTAGGACATGAAGTTCCGACGGACAGTACAGGAAGTTCTGCGGGTCAGGACAGGAAGTTCAGACGGTCAGGAGAGGAAGTTCTGTAGTTCAGGACAGGAAGTTCTGCGGGTCAGGACAGGAAGTTCAGACGGTCAGGAGAGGAAGTTCTGTAGTTCAGGACAGGAAGTTCTGCGGGTCAGGACAGGAAGTTCCGACGGTCAGATCAGGAAGTTCTGCGGGTTAGGACATGAAGTTCCGACGGACAGGACAGGAAGTTCTGCGGGTCAGGACAGGAAGTTCCGATGGTCAGATCAGGAAGTTCTGCGGGTTAGGACATGAAGTTCCGACGGACAGGACAGGAAGTTCTGCGGGTCAGGACAGGAAGTTCAGACGGTCAGGAGAGGAAGTTCTGTAGTTCAGGACAGGATGTTTCGCTGGTCAGGACAGGAAGTTCTGCGAGTTAGGACAGGAAGTTCCGACGGTCAGGACAGGAAGTTCTGCAGGTCAGTACAGGAAGTTCTGCAGTGCCAGTAGTGAACGCGCTTCGATCCTGCCTCTAGTTGAGCAATAGGAGACCTTTGCAGTCTGAGACCCAACAGAACCCTTTAAGCTCAGCTCCTAATTTCTTTTTTTAAATGTTTTTTATTTTCTGTAAAAACTAAACTGGTCTGTTTTTGTTTTTCTCGGTTCTTCGCTGTGAGGCCTGTGAACAGCTGGAGCAAAGAAACAGGAAGCTGCAGAGAGAGGTACTCACTCTATCATTTCATTCAGCATTAATGGTTGCCATGGAGACGAACCGTTTGACTAGAATCAGGCCTAAATAAAGCTCAGCCTGAGATCAGCCTTCATCCTTTCCTTGGTCCAAAGTATTTATTCCCTCAACTGAAAAAATAATTAAAGGAATAAAATCTTTGATTTTATGTCAACATTTTTAAACTGAATTAAAGTAGGTTCCGTTTAGCTGATTAGTTTTTTTTAATTTAGAAATGAATCTGATTTAATAGCTGAAACATTGATACTGATTTCCAGGTGGATTCTCTCTCTGAGGAGCAGAACCTTCTCGCTGAAGCTCTCCGAGCTCACGAACCTTTCTGTCCCATCATGCACTGCGCCTTGGCGTCACCCAGCCTCCACCCTGACGGCGCTGCAGCTCCATCCCTGTGAGAACAGCAGCACCTCTGCACCCTGCTGGAGGATTACTGGCCGCTAGGGGGAGCTGTTCTCCTTCATCCATGCTGCCCCCTGCTGGCCGGAGAGGAGCATCACATCTCTGCTGTTTCTGTGACTGAATGTCATCAACAAATAAATGTTTTTATACTATTTAACTCTGAAATATTTCCTTTTTGTTCAATTTGAAAATATGTAACTTAATGACAAAAGAACCACAAAATTAAAAAACATGTCTGTAATTTTGACATAATAATGTTTGGGTTTTTCTCTCAGCTCTTATTGTCATTACTACGGAGGAGGATTAGGGCCACTGAAAAAATAAAAAAGTTAACTGATTTTTAAACATTATTTCAGTTAAAAATCAGAAAAAAAGTCAGAATTCTGACTTTAATCTCAGAATTATGGATCTTAAAGGGAAACTTTAATAATAATTTATTCTTAACGGTACGCCAGCATTCAGAACATGGAGGCCAATCACTGTCCCCCAGACATCCACCGTTAGATTTTTTATATTTTTATCTTTTTAAAACAAATGTTCTGAACATGTTCTGAATGCTGGCGTACCATAAAGAATAAATGATGAACAGTTTAGTTTGTGCCTTCAAGTCGTTGCCCATAGGAAGACGTTACTGGATATAACGGAATATCTTCAGAACGGCTCCAAATGACACTAAACTCATATGGGAGAGTAGAACATGATGGAATAACGGCGAATCAAGGAAACAATGGAAAAAAAAAACGGTGTTCCCATTTAATCTAGATGGGCGCCATGAAGGCAGAGATGTGGAGCTCTCAGCTTCAGTAGTTTGGGAGGAACAGGAAAACTTTGCTGGAAAATGATGGAATGAGTCGAGTTTTTCCGTCCCTGAAGATCCCTGCTGAGGCTGTTTGATTAATGGAAGAACAGAAGGAGATTAAAATCAGAACAGACGTGGCTACGGCTTCATGCTAACATGTTTGTTAGCTGTCAGAATTCAGACAGATATTTGACTTTTTTCTCATATTAAACTGAAATTAAATAAAAAAATCTGTTAACTTTTATAATTTTTTCAGTGGCTCTAATCCTGTTCCATATATTCCACCATCACCAGTTCAGAGGAACCTAATTCCCTCTCTGCATTTAACCCCTCCCCCTGGGGAGCAGCGGGCGGCCATGGTGCGGCGCCCAGGGAGCAGCGTGGGGTTAAGGGTCATTGCTCAGGGAGCCAGAGTGGAGGCAGTGGGACTCGAACCCAGAACCTGTGGAGTACATGGTCTATGCCTGACCGCTAGGCCGCCCCTCCCCTACTGTTTGCTATTAGATCCTGTTATTAAAAAGCAGTTTGCTGTAAACATAATAAAATTGGTTTAATTTATTAACATTATATATCAGAAAACCTTTAATTTCAGGCTTTAAGCAGCAGAGAAAAATTAAACTACTAAATGTTATAAAAAGAAAAATACCAAAAAAAAAAAAGAGAGAATAAAAGAGACAGGAAAGTTTAAGACATTTAAAAAAAGGCTGAGAAGAAGATTAAAATGTTTGAGTGAAACTAACAGAGAAACCAAACCATCATCATCATCATCATCATCATCCAGAGGTCAATCCTCGGTGACTCCGCTCTCTCCACTCGCCTGCAGTGAGAATGAAAAGTTTAGCTAATTCTGAAGAGGAAGACGCTGAAGTTCCTGAATCCAACCGCCGCATCATCTTCTTCTCTTTCACTTCCTCTTCCTCTTCCTGCTGACGTCGGTTTCTCTGAGACTGTGGCTCCGATCCCTGGAAGCAGCGCAGGAGGAGGGATTATCTAAAATGGTTTAATGAACTTTCTTAGAAGAAGTAAAAGCCTCTGCATTCCCATATCTGTCAGTTTTATCTGAAAAATAAACTTTCAACTACCTGAACGGGCGTCTCTCCCTTTAGTCATGTTCAAAAAACAACTGAATTACTGACTGTTTGGTGTTTTTTGAAGCGAATGGCGATCTGACCTTAAATAGTATTTTTGAACATGACTAAATGGATAGACGCCTGTTCAGGTAGTTTAAAGTTTATTTTTCAGATAAAACTAAAGGGATAAACAGGAATAATGTGTATTGATTATGGGTATACTGGTCTGATGGGGTACGCTGATCATAACCGCCACATCGAGAGAGATCCGATTTATGAAGCTAAATTTCCACAGATTGAGCAAAATATCAAAAGTGTTTTTTTTTTATGTAGAGGAAAGAATCACATTCCAGCCACAACATTTCACTGTTTTCATTGTGATTTTAACTCTTCTTCCCACTGTGCCCGCGTACTTGCCAAGGTTGGATTGAAGTGGTTTGACCTTCCCAACATGGCGGATCCAAACACAAACAGATGCTGACAGCAAAAGAAAAAAAAAACTTTTAAATTAGTACTTTAATGTCTTTAAACATGTCTGAATTCTATCGTTCTTTAATTTATTTTAGTCTCAGTTGGTTTATTTTATTGGATTAAACCATGAATTGATCATAAGTATGTTGGCAGCATGTTGGGATTAGCCCCATAATCTGAGTTTGATCAATTATTATTATTATTAAAATCTAGATGTTTGACTGAAGGAGTCCTAGAACGGGACCCTGAAGAACCTCACATCATCTCTAATTTATATCAGGTTAGTTTTCATTTTGCTCCGATTCACATCGAATATAATCTCAAAGTAGATTAGACGATTAATCCGACCATCCAGACCGTTTTCATTTAAGCTCAATAAATTAGAAATTTCACCAACCGTTTGCTCTATGATGCTGAACCGACCCAGCTGCCATTGGAAGATGGTCGCCATGGAAACCAAGGTTTAAATGGATGATAGCTGAGCCTCATCCTGGTTTTAAGAGAGATCCAAGCTTAGATCTGATAAAACCCGCCTTTAATCTGGATTAAGGAAATTATTTCAGTTTGAAACCAAAGTTTTACTGAAGCTGGAATCCTTCAAGCTTTTGATTATTATCAGAGCGGGAAGAAGAAGAAGGTAATCAATAAAGTTTATTATTTGTTTTTAAACAGAAACCAACCATGAAAAAAATAAGATTTGTTTTATAGAATAATACATTAAAGCTTTTTTTAATTTCCACCATTAAATCAGATATGAAGAAAACAGATAAGGATTGTCTGAATTATTATTTTGGGTTTTTAATTAATAAACATTATCAGCTGTTGATCTACTATTAGATCATAAATCCTCTTTGATCTGATTTGATGATTTTTCAATTAAACGTTTATGTCGTTTTCTACAGTAAAAGTTAGTAAAATGTTCTGATTTAGTGGCTTTAAAGTCTGTCTGGGTGGGCGGGGCTGCTTTGATTGTCAGCTGTTGGTTCTGCTTCATCATGAGGCTCCAGGTCAGCAGATGCTTCCTGCTGTCATGATGAACGTTTGCTTCAGTTTCCTCCTTTTCCTCCTGCTGGGTGCATCTTACTGCCGAGGCGTCGCCATCCCTCCCTAACCCTGACTTAGAAGGTCTGAGAAGGTTTGAGCTCAGACTGACCCCCCCATGATGACCACCTGGACCCCCCCGCTGCCACTTCAGCTCCAACTGTTGGTTGTTATAACTTTATATCCAGGTTGGACACCATATTAATGTTCTGAATAACTGTTATGTTCTATTCTCAGCCAGATGGGAGTTTATATTTCTGATACTTTAGATGTTATAATTCCTTCCCTGATAGAGGTGATAAATATCAGATATTATTCAGCTGTTATAAACTGTTTATGACACACAGTCCTACTAACTGTGTGTTAGAACAATAAATGAAAGAGTGATTGGAGCTCTAATCATGGTCAAACTGTTAATTCTGCAAATTAATGGAATAAATTCACAACTTCTGTTCAAAATATAAGATTTTATTAACAAAATTCATTCAGCTCCACGTCAAACATATTTCAGTTTAACACTCTCAACTAAGACTAGTAAAACTCAACTAAACTAAACTGAACTAACTACTATGTACAAAGAGGAAGGGAAACATGGTTGAAAACCAGATTACAGTTTAAAGTGGATTTAAAGTTTGAAACCAAAGTTAATCTGGAATAATTTGGGATCTGATTAAATTAGCTTTTCACTCATTTAGAGAAACTGGTTCCCAATATCCAAAAACCAAAGTCATGGCGAACGGCTGAACATGACCAACAGACAGGAGACCCCCCCCCCCCCCCCACCCCAACAACATCCATCACCTACAGAAAAGTTCATGGAAAACTCCAGACTTTCCCAGAGCAGCCATCATTTCCCATTATCTAATCTAGAAACTACAGATCTACATATTTATGACCCAGATTCCCACTGTGGACAGAAAGTAAGCTAGTTAGTTAGTTAGTTAGTTAGTTAGTTAGTTAATTAGTTAGTTAGGCAGTTAGGCAGTGGCGTTCTTTCCCGCCTCTCCTTGTTTGAAAGCGGAGCAGAATTCCCACTAACTGAGGAAACATTCCTGCTCCTTTAACCTTCATGCTCAGACAAGCTTCTGGAAGCAGCTAATTATCCAACGTTCAGCAGATCTCTGGAACAGAGACAAGCTCCGGTTCCTGGGAACGCCAGTCCAGGACTTGGATTCTTTCCATGATAAACGCACGGATAACAAAGCACCTGGTCAGCAGGTGTGAGAGGAAGGAAGACGCCTGCAGGCTGCAGGCTGGCCGCCATGATAAGGGCTGCAGATGACAGGCAGGCAGCAACAGCCTGATAAGCTGCAGACGCCAACATGTCCAGACTTGATCCCTGATTGGATGATGAAATGTTTCCCTTCTATGAACAAAATTCCTCTTTAGGAAAAAAGTTTCATCATGTTCAGGAAATTCATCTCGTCTTTAAGAAAAGGAATCTAGTGTTAGGATTTCTAGATGGAGAATATGAGGCAGGAAGCGCTGCGTTTGCACAACATGCGACCTGCTAATAATCAGAAACCTTTCTGGGCTTAAATAATCCAGACTGTCTCTAATCCACCGTTAACAAACGCAGGATGTTGAAATGATCCTTAGAGGAATTAAAAACAGTTTGAACAAGTTTGAAGCTCAACTTTTTAACTTAATAATTCATAGTTTGATTCAGCATCTGTTTTATTTTAACTGTGTTTCTATCAGAAACGATCCATGTTTATTCCTCCATCCTGCTGTTTAAAAACACTTTTATAGAAGTTAGAGGATCAACTTCAGCTT